GACAAAATTGAAATATGGGTCAAATTGAGGCCGCGATCTATTTCACCGTTGGAATTATTTTTTTTAATTTATTTAGCGTTTTTTCGGGAAAGATCACAAGAAATTCTGCGACTACTCCAATTTTTAGTTTTTTTCATGCTCTCTTATGAGCGCGAAAACTCACTGAATTTGGAGTACTTTTTCAGTTGGTCCACATATGGTCGAGTGACAAAAATGGAAAATGTGCCAAATTGGCGCGACGATTATTTCGCGGTGTAAATGATTTTTTGAAATGTTATAATATTTTTGCTGGAAAGAACACGACCTCATCTATGGATTCTCAAAATTTCAGATTTTTGTGCGGGTTCCTCCGAGCATAGAAAATCGCCAAAGTGACCTCTTGCAAAACGCATGTTTCCCTGCGCCTTACCTCCCTGTTTTGAGAAGACGAGCCTCAACGCCTAGGCCTGAGGGCCCTTTTCCAGTTCCCATACCCTCACTTCTTTTGGGGGTCCGCTTTCACCCGAGGAGCAGTCCAACGCCCCCCACTTCTTTTTGGGGTCCGCTTCCACCCGAGGACCGGTCCTTCCTTTTTCCAAAAGTCCCGGTTCTAGAAGAGCTAGCTGTAGGTAGTCCGCAATTTTGCCAAGGACCGGTCCCCCAATTTTTTTTGCCCCCTAAGAACCCAGTTTGCGTCCTGGTCGTCCGCCGCCGAAAATGCGACACCTTGACACAGACGCAGAAGCCCACTATACCGCAGCCTTAGGGCTGCGAATTGGGGGTTGTGGGGTTCCGGAAACCAATATATTTTCTACCGCGTGGGCGCGGGGAACGCAGCCCTAAGGTAGCCAAATCAATGAGACTAAGCGCTCGCACAAGAGAGAGAGAGAGAGAGAGAGAGAGAGAGAGAGAGAGAGAGAGAGAGAGAGAGAGAGAGAGAGAGAGAGAGAGTGAATGACAAAATTAAATATGGGTCAAATTGCGGCCGCGATCTATTTTGCAGTTGGAATGATTTTTTTTAATTTATTGGCCCAAGCATGATTGAGTGGCAAAAATGGAAAATGTGACGAATCGGTGCGACAATTATTTCGTAGTGTAAATGATTTTTTTTTAATGTTCTATTATTATTTATGGAAAGAATACGACCTCATCTATGGATTCTGAAAATTTCAGATTTTTGTGCATGTTCGTTCGAGCACAGAAAATCGTCAAAGTTGCCTCTTGCAAAACGCCTATTTCGTTGTGTCTGACCTCCCTGTTTTGAAAAGACGGGGCTCGATGCTTGGGCCTGAGGGCCCTTTTGCAGTTCACATGCCCTCACTTCTTTTTGGGGTCCGCTTCTACCCGGGGTCCGGTCCAACGCCCCCCACTTCTCCCGGTGTCGAGCGCATCGGCCCCCGCGTGAGCGAGGGCCCTCCCGGCTATATCACACAGGAGTTATAACAAAACAAAATTAAGAGACAACTTAGGACGACGCATGAATAATCCCGCGAACCGCCGAGACGAACGCAGTTGCATTGTCCCTTCGCCGCTCTAGCCGGGTGCGCCAGCTGTTCATCCCACGGTCCCCTACGACAGGATAGGTTCTCGCGGGGCACATCTTACCTTCCCTAAGAGGCTGTCACCACCCTTAGGGGTGTATCCCCGCCAAGCTACCGACCCACGTGCGAAAGCTTTTACATGCAATTGCAGAGGTAGGTCAGCCGAGGGCGTTTGCTCGCTCGCTGGAGTATAGGTACGCTTGGTTAACGCCAAGTGGACCCGAACGTCGTCCGTTCCCGAGGGC